TTAAATTTTCAAACTCTATCACTTTTCCCCACCCTATTTAATGGGTTTAACGACAAAGATAAAATTACAAAAATGTCCATTCAAAGTTCTGTATTTTTTTGTCTTTTTCTTTATTAGTAATTCAGTGATTTTGTGTATTTTTGTTGCACTTTCGCAATTTCTTTTTACATTGTATTCTTTATTTATTTTTTTTGCAATTTTCAGTGTTTTCCGTATTTTCTTTTTTTTTTCTTTGTTATATTTTCTTACAAATCCTTATTACATTTTCTTTATTTTCTGCTTTTTGTTAACAATTTATCAATTTTCTAAAAATGATCTCATAAAATGGTATAAAGGCAGTTTGGAATTTTGGAAATATTTAAACATGCATATGATAACCTCATGAGAATATCCTTTAATTTTGGTTCTATGATTATTTTAGTTGGGACCATTTCTTGATATTATGCTATTAAAATTCCTGCCTTCATCTCTTTCTTTTTTTAGGTTTTGACTGGATCAGCTTTCTAAAAATATTCAAAAAGGAATAGACTCACTCATCAGAAGAAAGTGAGAGTGGAGTGGAGAGACTTTGTGTGTAAGTTACCATATAAATACCTACAACTCTATAAATGGGTAAAACACTACTGTCTTTTTGTTTGTTGAAAACTAAAATGGAGATGGAACTTTTTATTATTTCTTTTTGGGACAGGGTTATTTCAGCTATACTTTTTCCCCTTTTATGAAAAAAATCTTTGTTTTGATATAAACGGAATGCAACAAATAGTTTTAATGTAAAGGGAGAAGAGCTCATAGCTAAAATATTCAACTTTCCTTCTATACGTGCTTATAAGATAAAAGGTTCCCTTGTTTACCAAAGAAAAGTCCCTTATTCGTTCAATTAGAAAAAGAAACTTTAGCGCTGCTATCACCAGATGTATTGAACTAAAGATTTTTCTACCGAAAATAAAAATGAAAAAATAAATCAGATACAAGCAAGGTTTAAAGTATCAATACGTATCGGTCGATACATATTGTTTTGGAATCCTTCCGATATGCTCTTATAGTGGATGTATCGGAGGTCTGACCCGTTCAGGGGGTGGAGGAGCCCTAAATCGACCCCCTTGAATCGGTTTCAGAAAAAAAAAGTAAAAAAACAAAAAGAAAAAACAGTATCAATTCGCCTGATACGCTTTTGATAGGACATATCGGTATTTTGAACGTTGGATACAAGTAGATGTAAATTCGATTCATTAACATTTGGATTCAAGCGTAATATTATAGTTATAGGTTAGATTTGGATGTTGAAGATCATTAATAAAATAAACTAAGAATAACGCGAAAAATAACTTCTATGATAATTAAACTTATGAATCTAATGAACATATACAGTGTTGAGGTGGATTTAAATTTGGTTAAGGTATATAAATGGATTAAATTCTGATAGTCTTAAATCAGATGAGTTCCAAATTCAAAGTTGGACAAATGACACCGTTTGCAGTTTGCAGCCCCTAAGAAGACACAAAGACAATTCAGACAAACGAAGCCATGTGAAGGAATGTTGTTACATTTACATAGATGGTTTGTGCTCCAGTCCAATTCCTCATCTGTACCCTTCCCACTTTCCGTTGTTTAGGCTGGACGAACTAGAAATAGTTACTATTTATTTTTTGAATACGTTAAGCAAAGCCTTTTTGGGGCGAAATTCCTTGGATGAGTGTCGGCCTCTTAGGTTCAACGGTCATGAAGAGGAGGGTTCCTTTCTCTTTCTGCTTCCAAACTTCAAAGAAGAATAAATGTCGATTTGGGCCTTTAAATTCTGGTCCAGCCCAACTTAGACTTGACTGTGTGACTGTGTGTGCTGCCACTGGCCCACAGGCCACAGCCAGCAAGTTTGGTCCGGCCGGGACAAGGCAAGGGAAAAAACCCTATGCCCAGTCATGCCTCTGATTTTGTCATTTTGATGATGCGACTTGCGAGTGAGCTGAGCTAGGGATATGCCGATTAATCCTTGGCTGAAATGGTGCTGTCTTAGCCTGCCTAACCCATTAATGATTAATGTGAGCAAGGCTATACTCATCTAGCTAATTAATGGCCAGCACCACCTAATTAATGAATCACCATTTACTAACAACCTTATTAAAAGATCACGCCCTCAACCTACCTTGGAAAATAAAAAATAAAATAAAATTGGATAATTGTAGCAAGTTTGGAAGATGAAGGAACCAAACATTGATTGATATGCTGGTTACAGAATTTGCGGGATCCTTCTCAACAGAATTTGTCTATTGGCATTAGTTAGTTATGTTGTTTGCATATGCAAAAAGGAGTCATAAAAATTAAAAAACAGTGACAATATTTCATCTCCCAAGAAGAATTTACAATCATGGTTCAAAATATCGATACGACATGTTCGATACAGAATGTATCGTGTCGTATCTTTTGAAAAAGATACAATCCAAAATATCTGGTATTTCAGACCCTCAATTTTTTTTTTAATAATAAAAGTATATTATAAATTTCCCAAAAAACTAAGCTTTGAAAAAAAAACTAAAAAAAAGTGTGTATTAACCATTTTTAAGTACCAATACAATACGACCGAACCATACTTTGAACCATGATCACAATGGGTCAAGTTTCTCGCACAGCAGAGACCGCTCCTTCCAACCATACCACTTACAAGTGGCATCATATAATAAGTGGATGGCAACATTCCGGTAACAAGGGGGAGGCATGTATAGATGTTGCCCGACATCTCTCTATCTCTTCCTCTCTCTCTGTCTCTCTCCTTGAATTGGAAGTTGAAACACAGCACGCACACTCGCTTACTACATCATATATTATTTTGATGTGATAGATATGCACTCACATAAAATGCGTACACGTTCAATGCCTGAACGTAGAACCTCATCATGGAGCCTACTCTGGTCTCCTGAATGTAGAATCCCCTATACATACATATGTATCATATGTGTCCCTCGTAGTTCTAAAACAAGTAGCTAGGGAAGGGAGTATGGAGACATCCCATTTACTTTAACCTCAAAAATAGAATCTCATAAGTCATAACACAGAGAGCGAGAGAGAGGGGTATATACCACCCTAATTAACAATAGTATTCAATAATTAGTATTAATGATTCTTTTGTTTGTTTGTTTATTAAAGAGGAGGGTACAAAGATGTCGGATGTGAGCAGGTAAATACGTTTAAGGGAGACAGCAGCGTGCAAGTATCGAAGCAAACACTTGGGTGTTGAGTGGTTTTAGTTTAGATATCCCAATTCCCATGTCCATGTCCACGTCCAACCAACCCCACATTCTCTCTCTCTCTCTCTCTCGGAACACCGGTTCCCCTTCCAGGGCCTCATCATCATGGGTCATGGCTCAAGCTACGGAGACGGGGGCGTCGGGGGATCAGGGATGTACGTGGCATCACCCATTCATTTTTCCGCCTTTAGCCTTCAGCTGGATCTCGAGATGCATCTTTATTCTTTACTATCCGCCGCACGATTGCGATTATGCCAAATAAGGTCTGGACCGGGCCCTACTACTTTAACCACTTCTACAGTTCTACCGTATGCTTCATTCATTCAACTACTCATCTCTACTCAGTTGGCACTTGGTACCCCGGAATCTGGATTTTTCACTTTCTGAATTTCTCCGACAAAAAAAAAATTGCACCACTCCCTCCGGCCTTCAACTGTATGTATACAAACCTATAAATACAGATGGTGCTTTGTATTGGGCCCATTTTTTTTTTCTTAAAAGTGCATGGGCGTGAGTCATCAAAAACCCAACCTGCTCGGTACAAACAATGCCATCCAAATATCCAATACTCGGGGGTTATTTCATAGAAAATGTGAAAATAACGCCATTCAATAGTTGCCTTGGCGTCACGTCCAGACAACCACGTAAATAAATTATAAATGTACGTGCCACTTAACTGGTCTGTTCCCGAATCCAGAATTGCCTTCACGCGAGGCGAGCCACGTTGCGTTAATCGGTGGTGATAAAAGGACACCATCTCACCGATGAAAGAGGTTAATGAGGGGGCCAGAAAGGTCCATGTGTAGTTGATTTCAGGGAATGAAGGTGTAAGACGGACCAGCTAGCACACACTGGTCATGGTCCTTATCTTATGGGATGGCTTTGGCCGTTTGGCGTAGATACTAGATAGATATAATAGAAGAAGCCGATCGTCAAAATTCGAATATATGTGGAGGGTGGACCCATCTTGGTAGCCACTGGGCCAATGGTAACCTGTTGATTAGTTTCTTGCGTTCGTAATAGTTAATACTGGCCAATCAATATTCATCTTCTTACACGCGGGTCCACGTGTTGGGCGTACGTAGTACATCGTCATTGGCCCACTATCCTCCGATTCCAACAGAGGACTGGAAGAGGCTAGGTTTCCGGGTCTCTTACTCTAAACTCGGAAGTAGGACGAAATGTCTCACCTGCGTCCGGTACCGGGTTTGAGTGTCCTATTTTTTCTCGAAATGGGTCAACCGTACTTGGGAATATGAGCAGTACACGTGGCATACATGCTTTGAATATAGAAAATACTTTTATACTGGCGAGCTTTAAGACAGTCAAACACAAAAGGGAGTATTAATATAAGACATCCATAAGTCCCAAGTGTAGGGCTACGTCCTAACCAAGTAAAATATGCTATAAACATTTGTCGCAAGTGCCACGTGTACGGTTAGAGTCAATCCCTCCCGGCAATAAATTAAGTGGTCAAAACAGGGAATCGAGGAGGTATAGCAATAACGATCTTGATATCATCGTCGATCGACACCCGTACCCGTATCTGTGGGTATACAGTAATACAGTACAGCGTGCTGCACTGCTGCTATCTTTACAATCTTACCATTTTACTCCCAAAGAGAATTATTAAGAGGAAGAGAAAATATCAAAATAAGGGATAAATTCAATGTACAAGGACAAAAGGGCATTTGTGTAATTTAATAAACACAGTGTGAATTGAACGAACCATTTTTAGCAAATTCGGCTCGAAAAAAGGGTGGTAAGAAGGGAAAGGAAAGACCGGTTTGGGCTTTTAAGCTTCAGAACCTTGGGACCGGACTTCAGCACTTCACACTCTCGCTGGCTGTAGCTTCTTGTAAATTGTAACTTGTAAGCCTGTAACCTGTAAGAGAGAGAGAGAGAGAGAGAGAGAGAGAGTGTGTGTGCGCTCTTATGTAAGAGTAGAGAAGATGGATGGCAATGCCGAAGAAGGCAGCCAAGGGACCGTTACATGGTAAGCTGACCCTGAGATGAAGGCTGGGCTTTAACGTGCGCCTGCAAAGCCTCTGTTGCGTTAATGTACCAGATTTGACGCGTTGGCTTTTCGCCGGGAAACCGCTTTTAGTACGATAGCGGTTTCAGGCGACAATAAAGACAGAAGCAAAAACAACAAAGAAAAAGGGTGAAAAACAAGGTTCAGAAACTGAAAGATTTTTTTTTTTTTTTCTCTTCCCCGGTTTTCCGGTGCGGCGAGTTAAGGAGCTCTAAAGCGGCATGGATGAAACTGGAATCGTTAGGCAACCGGGACACTTGGACCCTCGAGCGCAAGAGTTCCGACCGAGAAATATTCCTTCTCCACAAAACCAGGTTGCCCTCCTTCACCCGCAAATTTACTACCCAAGCCCTTCTTCATACCCGTCTACAGGAGTTCAAGCGATGCCTTTCTATGATGGGGGGATAGGTTACCATTCAGCCCCTCTAGTGGCGTACCCTAGACCCAGCAGTGTAAATCCACCTCAACCACCACCATCGCTGCTGCCGCCGCCTTCAGCCACGGTTACGAGAGCGTTGCTTCTAAGCTCTGTGCCAACGGACGTTAATGAGACGACGCTGAGGAGAGAGGTAGAGGTGTTTGGTGTGGTGAGAGCGGTTCAGATGGAGAGGTTACAGGAGGGAATCGTCACGGTTCATTTCTATGATTCAAGACATGCACAGGCAGCGATGATGGAGATACGAGAGCAGCACATGCAGCAGCAAAGTAGGTTGCGACAATACTACAACTCGTTGTTGAACCAGAATTTATGGATTGATGTGGAGAATTCGGCGGCCCCGATGCCTCCACCCGCGCGTGGGCTCATTGCTGGCCGAGCTGTTTGGGCACAGTTTACTGTGCCGACGCCAACCATTGGTCCGGACGGGCAAAATCAAGGGACCCTGGTGGTCTTCAACTTGGATTCGGGAGTTTCAGCAAGCAACCTTAAAGAAATTTTCGAAGCTTTTGGTATGAATTACCAACGAATAACCAAACACCTACCCAGGTTTTAACTGAAATCGGCCTACTGATGATTTAACTTTCTGGGTTTTGACTTTTGATTGACTTCAATTTCATGTTCTTAAATTGTTTTCCTGTTTCTCCTTCTCCCCCTTCTCGCTTCGTTTCTCTTTCTCTTAATGTTTTAACCTATCTTTTTCAGTGGAAAAACAAATCAGAAGTCGATCCTTTCTCTTTGGTTCACTCTTGGTCTTGTATGAACTCTGAGAATATTTGAACAAGAGAATGACAGAATCTGTTTCGTTCTTTGTGGTATATATTTTTGTGCACTTGTTTGTTTAGTTGCTTCTTACGGGGGGTAGTGGGGGCAAACGTCTTAAGCGTTTTTCATTTTTTCTCTTTTCTTTTATTATCTGATTCTTTTTCAACTGTTGTTATATACTTCGCTTCTTGGTCATAGGGTGGCTTATAAGCTTATTTATTTGGTTTATTTTTAATTTACAGCTTTAATTGATAGATTTTCTTCTTGAATGATTTTGTAACAATTTAGGGCCTGTGAAGGAATTGAGAGAGACGCCGTCAAAACGGCATCAGAGGTTCGTGGAATTCTTTGATGTTAGAGATGCAGCTAGAGCTCTTTCAGAAATGAACGGAAGGGAAATCGGCGGCAAGAATATAGTAATTGAATTTAGTCGTCCTGGTGGTCATGGAAGAAGGTTATTGAACGCTGCTGCTACCAGCGCCACCAGCAACATCAACAAAACCACCACCGCTTCTGATGTTAACAGAAGCAGCTACCAAACAATGAGTACTGGGAATTACTCTCAAGCATCAGCACCTCCATCACTGCCTCCTAGATTTTTGGGCCAGTCAACCTCCGATTCCTCTCTAACCCAGCCTTCTCAAACTCAACACCCGAATAAGAAACCTGGTTTTACTAGGAAGAATATTGCTAATTGGAACAGCAACTCGAGATCAAATTATGGAGCTCCAGAAGCCGTAGCAGGTCTCATGGGTTCGTTGTCTCTTAGTGTTGTTGGCAATGAGAGTGAAGGTGACGAGGATCGTAGTGGGTCGTCGAGGAGAAGGACTAGGAAGAGCAGCGGCAGCGGCAGCAATAGCAATACCAGCAACAAAGGCAACAACAGTATCTCTTCAGCAGCTACGAAGCTGCCGAAAAGTCGGTCATGGAAGGGCAGACAGAAGAACTCGGATGTTCATTTCTTGATCAACGAGGATGCAATGATTGACTCCGATTGCAGAGATACCAGAACCACTGTCATGATCAAGAACATACCGAACAAGTACAGGTGATTTGCTCCCGCAAGTCCTAGTTACGATCTATATATCTGGGATTTATTTATCTCTCTTTTTATATGGATTTCTATCTGGATTTGTATTTATTATTACTAGTTTCTTTCTGTGGTTTTATTTTCTGTTTTGGGGGGGATTTGGGGCGTGGTGCAGTCAGAAGCTGCTATTGAACATGCTGGACAACCACTGCATAAACTGCAACGAGCAGATTGGCGACGGCGATGATCAGCCCTTATCTTCCTATGATTTCGTTTATCTTCCCATTGATTTCAGGTAATTTTCTCTCGTCTTATTTTTTCTCTTTATCAAAGAAATAAATAATCGTAAATTTGTTTATTTTACTTGTTTTGATTCCATTTCAATCATGTCTTTGTTAATACTTTTATTTTTTCCCCTCTCCGTTTTATTTGTTGCATCAGTAACAAGTGCAATGTTGGATATGGGTTCGTGAACCTAACGTCTCCCCAGGCGACATGGAGGCTCTACAAGGCTTTCCACTTGCAACCATGGGAAGTCTTCAACTCCAAAAAAATCTGTGAAGTCACTTATGCTCGGTTGCAGGTATTACATTTTTATAATGAATTTATTTATTTCCTATTGGTTTGTTGGATTTTTTTTTGGTGCATATTTATTTATTATTTATGTGTTTATATCTAAATTTTCATTTACAAGTACAGGACGTAGATCAAAATTAAATTATTGCCTTCTCTTTCATTTTAGCCTCTCGTATATTCTATTTGTGATTATTTGTTATTATTGTTAAATTACGAGTGTTCCTGTGCGTCAGATATGAAGTGGGTTTTGAATCTTTTGAATTTTATATTTTCTCTATGTTTTACTTAATTTACTTTGTAAAAAATAAGTCATTGTTTAATTTCTTGTCTTTATTATTTTTTTTATTCTATGTAAATTGTTTATATACATCCATTGGCTTCTTGAACTTATTTGATTATAGAAAACTAGTTTTTTTTTTTTGTAGAAATAGAAAACTTTCTATTTTTTTTTTTAAATTAAGTGATACAATATTAATGAGATTTATGATAGATTATGGTAAATTTTGGAGTAGTGAGTGTTATTTATTTATTTTGGTAAAAAAGAAATTCATTAGAACCAACAAAAACTTAAATAAAAATCAGTGCAGAGGGGTTCACTGCTTTCCATGTTTGATTGGCATTTGGCAATGTGGCTTATAGAGAGCCATAGACGTTAAAAATTTCGTGCGTACTTTTTCATAATTTAAGGTAATAAAAATAAGGGATTCTGTAGTTAAAAAGGACATATATCGGTGAGTCCAGGGCTTGGAGACACTAAAAGAGCATTTCAAAAACTCAAAGTTCGCATGCGAGACAGATGACTACCTCCCTGTGGTGTTTTCTCCGCCTCGAGACGGGAAGAACTTGACTGAGCCCATACCCATTGGTGCTCACTCCAGCGCAACTACCAACAAAAGACTGGGTCATGCCAGCGGAGATGATACGAGGGAGGAGGAGGATGATATTAACATAGACGGTGATGGAGATAATAGGGTAGATGTGTACGAGGAGGAAGGTGGCACCAACTCAAACCGCATTGCAGATAATAATGATAGCTACGATATTGACGACGATGTTTGTGGTAACAGTGGCGTTGAACCGGAAGTTTGTTTTAATTCCACCGACGGGAGCACTGTTACCTGTACCAGTGCAATGGGTACTACTACTACTACTACATCGCCCAATGGGTGCTTGAGCACCGAGCCTCAGCTGCAGCAGCCCAAGGCTCTGAGTATGAGTCGCGCTCAGGTCAGCTAGTTTCCTTTTTTTTTTTTTCCTTTATTTCATTCTGTTTCTCTCTCTCTCTCTGGTCTTCTATACATGGTTTTATTCATCTTGTAATTCCGAAAAGAAAAACAAAAATACATGAAATTTACAAACATCGAGGATTTTTGAATGGTGGTTTACACATTGGAAATATGGAAGTATCTTTTCTTCCCTCTTCCTCTCTCTTTTTCTCTCTTTCTATATATATACTTTGGCTGCTCGTACAAATCATGCATCTCTCCCTCTGTCTCCTGTTAAGAAGACGAGACACTCAGCCACCTTCTGCCGCCGTTTCATGGCGAGCAGGTGGCTAGCCTGCTGCCACCCACCCACGCTACTACTACTACTACTTCAACGTCACCTTTTTCGGCGCGTGCTGTACAGTCGTGAGTAATGGTGTGGTTACGTGGTTTATATAGGTCTTGTTGTGCACATTAGATAAAACGTAATATATGATGTTAACGTGCGCACTAAACCATTACCGTCTCCAATGTGAGGGAAATAAAGAGATGCACATTGGCTGACTTCGCAAGATACCTTAAAATATGTTTGGTTTTGTTGTTTGCACTTCAATGCGATAAAATGAAAGTACTTCGATTTCTTTTACATTTGCTGTGATAGTTCGACGGAGTCCGGTCCGGTCGTTGTGTTATTCAAAAGAGGGTTGCTACTTTCTAATTTGCTTATTTGATATTTAGAGGGCAATGACAACGAGGGATCTCGGTTTATAGGTCCGAGTGTTGAAGGGTAGCTGGGTGATTGACGTTGGTTTTATTAAGAGACTTGGGGGACTAAGAAGGATCCGGTATTTGATATACCAGACGGAAGGAGAGATAACTGGTAAGAGAGTTGGCTCGGTCATCCAAGTGAAATCGTCTGTCGCTTAGTTTTTTTTTTTTTTTTCTTTATTCTCTTCTTCGTAAGCACGAATAAATAAAAGAAATGTCAAAGACGAAGAAAAAAAAGGAAAAAAACACCAACGTCTGCAACAATCAAGAGAGATGCATAGTTGGTTACAGTTAAGCTATTTATGCCACGCAGGACGACTTTGTTACGTGGCAATTTCCAAATTCATCACAGGTCTTGGAAGTTTGACCGAGACCGTACCAGGAGCAGGATTGGCAGAGTATTAGTGCATCGCGGCCCTCATCAGTTTGTTTAAAATTGTTTTATTTTCTCGCTCATCCACGTCATTGGATGCTCTTTGCTTTTCTCCACGCAGAGGGTCTGAGCCGCGCCTCATTAAAGGTTTCGTCCTGGGCTCTCCTCTCTGGCACCCTGAGATGCCAGCGTCGCGGTCTCTTTCTCTCTCCAGACTCCACCCTTTCTTTTTCATGATGTGACGGAAAGACACGTATAACGTGCCACGTGAGAGTGAGTCCAGGTCTTCATGGCGCGGGTTCGTGGTGCATAAGCATAACCTCGTATGGTTGGTGTCAATGGTGACAGCTACAACTGTGTTGACCAATCAAATCGGACAAAAAACACAAAAACTCTGCACTGCACTGCACTCACCCAAGCCATGGCTGCCTCTCTCTCTCTCTCTCTCTCTGTGACTGTGTCTCTGGTCTGCCCTCTATTACATGTGATGGCGATTACCACGCCGGGGTAATGCCACGTCCCCTGATCCGGGATGGAATCAATCCCTTTACTACCTGTTTCAGGAATCAGGAATCATAAACTGGACCACCAAATCCACTTTCCAAGGTGATGCGGCGATGCCTTCCCTCTCCCGAGTCCCCATCGCTGTTATTAATTCTTATTCGTCCCGGGTAAGTAAAACTAAAACCAGAAAACAAATTATAACCTAGCGAAAGAATCATGTTTTTTCGTCTCCTGACTGGAAAAAAAAATCAGTTAATTTATTGCGATTTGCCGGTGGTGGGTGGGTGGACTGACGGAAGCTTTAGTGCAAAGATTGGGGACTCTGGCTGGCTATCTGGTTTGATCAGCCGGCCACCAGCCAGGGGTTAGGCTTCACTGTTTCAGATGATCGATCATGTTGCATCATCGCATCATGGCTCATGCATGGCGGAGTTAGAGGTGGGGAGACTATATATGAAGTGACAATACATGAACCCAAACAAAGGGGTAAGCCTCAGAAGAGCCCGCCTGCGGCTGCGAGCTGCGAGACGCCCAAGGTGGTTGGTTCCTCACACCAATAAACCTCTAGAGTCTGAAGTCTGAACGCACAACACTCTATATCATTATCTAATCTCTCTCATAAGATGTAAACCTTTCTTTCACGAAACTGTCATTGAGAGTCTGAGACAGGACATTTCTTCCAAAGTTTCAAACTTTCAATGGCGATAAACTTAGGTTTTTTCCCTTGTAAACAAAAACAAAAAAACAGTAATAATAAACTTTGATTTGATTCTCTTTTTTTTTTTTTTTTTTTTGTGTTACTCTTCACCTGCACACATATATATAAAGAGAGAGAGAGAGAAAGAGAGTGCAGGTTATTACCTTTGTTTCTGTGTCACTCGTGAGGGAAGAATTGTTGCATTCAGCATTTGGAAATTGATAGGTTGGGGTTGAATTGATATAATGAACAAATTAGTAGCGTTACTATCTTATAGGGGTTATTATCTTGATTCTCAAGCAGTAGTAGTAGAATTGCAAGTCTAATAGTTATTAGTTGTCGATAAATAGAAAGTTATTGATTAAATATAATTGCAAAAGAAAAGAAGAAAATAGCAATCACCTAAATTAAACGGAGACGAATCAATTTTGTGGGTCGGATATTCCCCACGTTCCAAATTTGTCACTGTTTGAAACAGTCAAGATCATTAGGTGACATCACAGGAGACGATAAAGTCACGAATCATGACAATGCAATGAGCCAATGAAGTTGGTCTTTGATTTGCAGGATCCAACCAGCTAGATGACCACATGCATATTTCTCTTGGATTGGAATATATTAGTTATCTATTTTATTTTGTAAACAAAATTCACGGTTTTATGTATTATAAGGATCTATACCTATAACTTTGTAATGGGTGGACCATACACATCCATAAATATTTTATATAATTATCTCGTCTTGGAATGTCCATAGTATGCAGAGTCTTGTTCTAAGAATGAAACATTGGTATGAAGCATTATTGGTGAAGTTATTATATCTTTTTTCTTTTTTGAAATGCTATTATGTTACGTTATATCTACATGTCCACTTACATATAACTTCATAGGAACAGTTAAACTATGTATTTATTATTATCTCACTGCCATGCATACCTTAAAGCATCGTTTGAGTACTTAAAACAAAAAATTTGAGATTAAAATAGTTTTATTCAAAATATTTTCAAATAAATAGAAAGAAAAGAAAATACTGTTTTTTAAGTTTTAACACAGCAACAATTTTGTATAAAAACCTAGGTTTGTAATTTGTAAAACACCAAGAGAGAAATCTATATATTCAAGTGTGTTTTGTCCTTCAATAATATTAGAATGAACAAAAGATGGAATGAAAGGACTATACTTGGTTCGTCTCCCTGACTTTTTCTTCCACAATCCATCAACCTGCTTCATGTCTTCAACCCTAAACTTGAAAAGAGAATAAGATCGTTTGAATGACCCATTTAGTTTTCAAGGGTAATGTTGGTCAATTTCCATATTGGAGAAAATATGAGGTACAATAATCACTTCTCCTTATTTCAATTTTAGATTTCAACTAGGTCCTGGGACATGAGTGTCATTATTTGATTCCTTATTCATTATCAAAAAAGAAAAAAAGAAACTTACTATTTTATTTGAATGAGGGTAATTGAAAAAAAAAATAAATAAAGAATTTCAAAACTTGAATCAGGGCAATTGCCCATGCTTCCGCCTATCCATGATAAACCTTTAAAAGATTTTTTTTTTTTTTTAAATTATGATTTTTTTAAGTAAACTTTTATCCCTAGCTAAGTTTTATCCGGTAAATGTATGATTAAATACAAAAGAATTAATGACTTATACTGTGAGAAGTTATTTGTAAGATTTATGGTAGTTGTTTTGGCAGAAATTGTTAGATTTATAAGGCACAACTTTTTCTCTCCTGTTATGCTACGTTACAATCACTTGTTTGGGGATAGGAGAAGACCTTTCAATTTTGTTTCTTTTGTTGTCTTTATCTTTTGTAAGAAACAAAATTGGGCAGGATTCGGTCTTTATATTCTGCACTTCATTTATTATTGCTCTTTCAGCTATTTGCAGAACAGCAGAGCTCCCTCTCTAGTTGTGATTTTGATTTTTGAGTTTTCATACCTTACTGTTTGGTTAATTAATATATGATTTTCTGTCTTAAATCTTAAAAGTGCTAGATTCCATGGAGAGATAGATGCTCTTGGCCCATTAAGTTATAGGGATAGCGATGTGCCTTGTAAGTGTTGTATATTGTCTCTCTTTAACTCTTAGTTTCTGAATGTATTTGTAATATGAAAGATTCACATCAATACTTGAACATTAAAATTTCTTTTTACTCATCACCTTTTCTTAAGTTTTTTTTTTGCTCTTCTATTCCTTTCTTCTATTTATTTATTTATTTATGTGCCAAGTTTCTAACCGTTTTCCCTCGTCGTCCCTCTCTGTATATATCAAACTCGTCTATCCTGTATACAAATATCCGTTGTATTCTGTATCGATAGTGTGGTTTTTTTACAATCCTATGGATCATAACCCAATGCTCAACGTCTGGTTTGTTCATGCATTCAATTCCAAAAAGAAAAAACCTTTTTGATCCAATTTAATGAACAACTCTCTACGGTTTACTGTAAACATCCCGTTGCGCGTACTATCCCTAATCTAATACGGAGAAATGAAGGAACTGCCTTTTGCCAGGTGTAGGAGATGACATGAGTTTCCGAATCCTCTACAGTTCTACCCCTATTCTCGAGCAGTAACTATATATATACGACTTGTCTTGTCTTGTTAGGCTGACGTGGTTTATGCGTATGATTGACATGCTGAAATTCAGTGCCTGAATGGAAGATGTGACGCAGACGTGGAGCCTTGTGAGCCCTCTTAGACCACAATGGCCATGATGTCCCATGTGGAATTGTGGATGGATAAATCTCACCGGCACCGCCGGCCAGGGAATTCGTCCAACCGCCACCCAGTTCAAACTCTCGTCACTTCAGTTTTTTCTGCTCAGGGTCGAGTTCCCTTATTTATTTCAGGTTACTCTATAG